CCTCACACGCATGGGCACCCCTCATGGCGAGCGCCCTGCTGGAGGGCATCACCAAGCTCGAGAAATGCACCCCCCGAAGAAGATCTAGATCTGGCCAAGGACTGCTGGCGTGGCCCTGGAATTTCAGAAGTAGGAACAAATCCCAACAATGGCATTGCAACCCTACTGCATCTGAACTACGTGTGTCCGGAAAACAACTCATGGGTACACACATTCACACACACACCACACAACACAACACACAACACGCACCACGCACCACAAACAACACACCACACGCCACACGCCACACAACAGACAACACACAACACACAACACACACCACACACCACACAACACACACTACACAACACAAACACACACACACACCACACAGCACACAGCACACAGAACACAGCACACAACACACAACACACAACACACAACACACAGCACACAACACACCACACACCACACAACACACAATCCGCAACACACACACACATCACACACCGCACACCACAGATAACACAACACACAACACCCACCACACAACACACACACACGCGCGCGAGTGCATGTCTTCGTACTTGGAGGCCGTCGAAGCCAACGCCCCTGCGTGACACGAATCCAAAACAACGTTCTAGTGATCACTAAGCAGACGCGCTTGCCCCGCTATAGAGAACAGTTGGGGGATTGGTAGAAGTTAGAGGATGGATGATTACAGGAGTAGCAGAGAATGAGAAGGAGAGAGAAGCTATCAATCATACATCGCAATATCGAACCTCGTCTTTGCGAACAAAGTCCACCAGCGAGCAGGCCGTGCCAAGAGTGCGCAACTACTAAAGTTTCACGACCTCCGAGGGACCACTCGCCGCAAGCACGACTGACCTGGCGCATCTCGACCAATCGGTGTCGACGCGGGACTTTGTGAAGCTACACCCACGCAGTGGCTGTGGGACGACCTCGGAGATTCTCTCCCCCACCTGAGCCCCCAATATTCTCGACTTCCTCCTCCCTCATGTTCCCCCTCTCTTCCCTTAAGCAGGCACGCTATGGGCACTCCTCACGGCGGGCACCCTGCTGAAGGGAAGCACCGAGCTCGAACCATGCACCCGAAGAAACGATCTGGCCAAGACCTGCTGGCGTCGCCCGTGGAAGCAGGCACTCGAATTTCGACGAGCCAACGCAATTCTGCGGAATGCCATTGCCACCCTACCTGGCATCGCTCGGACGTGTATTTTTTTCTCGGCGAGGACCCTTGAGGAACACCCTGGACCATCGAGCGAAAACACACACGCACGAAACCAAAACGTGCACGGGAAATGGACGTCCGAGCGACGGAAAGCCTACTGCGTCTACACGACGTGCGTCCGCAACCACTCACGGACAAGCACGAACAACAGGCTTGCCATCGGGGAGCACCGAGGCCAACGCCTCCCTGATGCAAAGCAGCGTCCTGGTGCCGACCACACAGGCGCTTGCCGCGCTGTATGGGGAGCAGGTGGGGGACTGGCAGAAGTTCGAAGATGGACGGTAGTAGGGATCGCATCCTCGTCTCATCCCTCTGGCGTCCTTCCGTCCGAGCGCAGATTGTCGCGTAGCGCTGCAGGGGCGGCAGCGTTAATGCACAAATCCTGCACAACAAGTGAAACATCCGCCGATCCCTTGGGATTCATCGGCGCGTGAGATGCTCCCCCCTCCCCAAACCCCTCTCCTGGGAACCCGGTCTGGTCGATTTGGAAGGGGGGTCCCCCGGGGACCGCTGGAACGAGTCACGGGGGGACTGAGGGCCCCAAAACACGCCAAGAGGGCTCCAAGAGGCCCTCCAGACGGTCCACGAGGGCCATGAACCGCCGAAAAAAACGATCCCAAACGCACACGCTGGCCTCCAGATGGCCCAAAAGGCCCCCAAGACGCCCCAAAATACCCCCAAGAGGCGTCGTAAGTTGGCCTCGAAACACACAAATCGTCTCATTCCACTTGGGAAGCGCGCTTTTCTGTTAGCACATTCGCCTCTTGTGCGTCCACAACGTCCAAGACGGACCAGGAAGCCGACTAGATCGCCCGAAGGGGGCCCAGGAGGCCTCCAAAAAGGCCCCCAGACGACGCAAAAAGGCCCCAAAACTAACTCAACAAACCCCCAAGACGGTCCAGAGGAGGCCCGGGGACCGCCCAAATGACTACCCACCACACCACCCCAACCCAACCCGAAGACCCGAACGTCGGGTTGGGCCCGACGAACCCCCCCCACTGGAAAATGGAGGCCTTCGGGTTCGGTCGTGGTGGTGTGGTGGGTGGTGACCACAGAGGAAGCCCAGAGGGGAACCCGAATTGGCATCTCGACCCTGCGACCATGCTCCCCGCTTGCCCCTGGCAAGTCGCCGTATGTCCCCAGAGACTCCGGGAGGCCCCCAAACTGACCCTATGGCGTACCCAACCCACTTGCGTCAAGTGGCCAAAAGAGTTGGCCCACACCTGCCAGGACAATGGCCGTGCAGGGTGCCGTTGTACGTTGTGTAAGCTACGTGGGATGCGCGCACGCGGCATGATTCACATGACAACAATAGAAGGACGACGGGCGATGGCCAAGGCTCGAAGAGGACATGGGGTTGGGACGACGAGCAGGAGAATGACGCGATGAGGCGCCGAACCGTCAGCGCGGCAGCAGCAACGAGGAACTTGTGTGGAGGGGGGGTAGACGACGACGACGACGAAAGTGACAGGAGGAAACAGGAGAGTGTTGCCCTTGTCTGTAGTGTGCAAAAAATGCAACGCTGCCTGCGCCATGTCGCCGCGGCGCTCGAAAGGAACAAACCTGCGTATGGCTAGTACAACAAGCGAGCGAGGTCTAGCTTGCACGCTAGTTTTGTTTGTTTCCTTCCTGCACTTCTCAATGCGGGGGCGAAGCGCTCGAACGCGCGCCGCCTGGTCTGCGGGCGGCCCGCGGGCAAGGAAATCTTGTCCAGACTGGGAATAAAAAAGGGGTCCACGCTGGTGGTCCGCGTAAGACGCCGCCCCGCTGCACCTTCCAGCAACCCTCGAAGGTGGCGACGGTTTCGCGGATCACAGCCCCCCAAGGATGGCGAGGTCTCCTGGTGGTCCGAATAATACGTCGCCCCGCGGCACACCCCCCAGCGACCCTCGACCGTGGCGAAAAGTTCGCAGATCGCAGCAGCCCAAGGATGGCGAGGTCTCCTGGTGTTCTGGGTAAGACGCCACTCCGCTGGACCCCCTAGCGGTTTGAAAGTGGCGACGGTTTCGCAGATCGCAGCCCCGCGGTGTCCTGGTGGTCTGGGTAAGACGTCGCTCCGCTGGTCCCCCCATAGCAGCCCTCGTAAGTGGCGACAGTTTCAGAGATCGCAGCAGCCCAGGGATGGCGAGGTCTCCTGGTGTTCTGGGTAAGACGCCACTCCGCTGGACCCCCTAACGGTTTGAAAGTGGCGACGGTTTCGCATATCGCAGCCCCGCGGTCTCCTGGTGGTCTGGGTAAGACGTCGCTCCACTGGTCCCTCTAGCGGCTCTCGTAAGTGGCGACGGTTTCGCAGATCGCAGCCCCCCAGGGAAGGCGCGGTCTCCTGGTGGTCTGGGTAAGACGTCGCTCCGCTGAACCCCCTAGCGGCTCTCGAAAGTGGCGACGGTTTCGCAGATCGCAGCCCCCCAGGGAAGGCGCGGTCTCCTGATGGTCTGGGTAAGACGTCGCTCCGCTGGACTCCCCCAGCAGCCCACATAAGTGGCGACAGTTTCGCACATGGCAGCCCCACAGGGATGGCGAGGTAGGAGGCAAGCTGGCACGCAAAAATAACGAGGTAAGAGGCAAGAGAGAGGAGACAAGATGCGGGGAATGAGGAGGAAGAGGAGGTGGAGACCGCAATGCTCTATTCAAAACGAGTGCCCAACGCAGGAGGGCTGGGAAAACCCGAAGGGGCTCCCAAGAGGCCCCCACGATGATTCACCACAACATGGCTCTTAACCCGTTGGGAGGGGACCTCAGTTAGGAGGACCAACGTATTAGGGATAGGGGGTCCTTTCTGCAGATGTACCGGACCAAACCGCCCAGAACTATAATCCCTAATGCGAAGACGGGGACCTCAGCGGGGCCACGTCTTCATCGTGATATTCGGGTTAGGGGTTCGTTTGCTCTTGACGACAAGAAGTTCAACAACTGCCTCCCGAACACCTCCGAGGCACCTCCCGCGGGACCCTATCTGCCATCCGAGTGGCCTCAGACTCGCAGCCCAGGCACGGTGGCGGGATGTGCCGGCGGCCATTCGATCCGCCGCCCCCTGCTTGCAGGGGTGCACGGCGTGCTGGATGTTTCAGGTTTTGGTTTTTGGTTCTTTTTCCAAAAGAACTCCCCAGTGGGCTCCGGCAGAACCCGCCGGCCACCCGGAAGGTGCTCAACGACCGGAAAAAATCCTCCAAAAAACGGCCGTTTCGCTCGGGACATCCTCAAAAAATCGCGAAGATGGCCCAAGATGGCCTCCAAGCCCCAAGTCGGCCCATAGAGGCCCCCCAAACGGCTTCCGACGGCTTCAGACGTGCCAGGAACCCACCAAGATGGCCGAAGTTGGCTCGAAGCTGGCCCGAGACGGCCCAAAAAGCCCCAAAGATCGCCCAAAGCTTGCCCAAGAGGCCTCCAAGACGGCCAAGATGACCTTCAAGATGCCCACGTGTTCCCCGAAGGCTTTCCAAACCGATTCGGGGAACACGTGGTCCGATAGCTTGGCAGGTCTGGCCTCAACGTTCGGCCACATAGGCGCTTCCAAAAAGGCAGGGGGCGGCGGTGATTCGCCGTAGGCGTCTTCGATAATCAGAAGGGCTCCAAGACGCCCCCAAAAGGCGCCGAAGAGGCCCTGAGGAGCAACGCGCAACAACCGCCAGACCCCCCAAGGTTCGGTGGTGTGGCGTAAGCCTCGGAATCTCAGGACATAGGACATAGAGGCTACAGCTCAGCCGTCTACGGATGCGGTCTGGCAGCCCTCCCAATCTGGCGTTGCCTCCTTTCCTTCCTCCTCCTGCCTCCTGACCTGATCAGCAGGCGCACTCGCCGTTTGTACAATACTATATATGAAGAAAAGGAGCGGAACAAAACACGCAAAGGTGATGAAGGCGGTGCGAAGGAAGGATAAGAACGAGGATAGCTATCGCACATGTGCGAAAGGTACCAACTACTTAGATGAACAACATGTGGCGGCTGCGGATCATGTCGTCCAGACAGCCGACTACCTTCAAATTGATATCCTTGTCCTTGGCGTTTGTGACCAGGATGTCCTTTTGAGACAGGGTGTGAATGGCCTTCTGCGCACTAGCATGGTGCCAACTGTCGAGCACCAAGGCGGTGCAATTGGAATACTTTGCTGACTGTATACCGTGGACTCTCAATCGGAGCCTATCCTCGGTAGCTGGCACTAGCCCGTCCTCCGTCGCCATCTTGGTGGCGATCCAACACTCCACATTTGGCCAAAATCGTTGGTTATAGACACGCTCGTACAGTACAATAACCGTGGACCCGAGAAAGATGAAAGGCAAAATGTTCTCCAATATCAGCCTGAACTCCTTTTCCTCCTCCTCGGTCCGCCCGCCGCCGTGCCATTGAGGTGCACATGCCCAATCGATCCATACAAAGTTAATCGACGGGTTCTTGGCTAATATGTCTTGCAGCTCACACAATTTGCTGCCATCTGGATCGAAGTGTTCTGGCTCTGGCCAGCGGTGAGACACTGCTACTGTGTCAGCAACATACCGCCCAGCAAACACATCCTCAAGGGTCATGGTCCGCTTCACCAGCAGACCAATGTCCCTCAACACTTGGTGGCGAAACATGGGCTTGTTGCGCGGCATTTTCATGACTGATTCCACTGGGAGGAACCAAAAGTCCATGGTCTCCAACAGCTCAGCCTTCTGGTCCTGGTGGTCATTATTCTCCGCGTCCAGCTCCGACACGCTGATCTCAATCTGCTCGTCGCGCATGCCGCGGTCGTGCGCTGGGCCCCTGCCACGGCTGGGACATCCGCGCCTCATCAGGTAGCCCAAGCCCAGCGCGACGCAGGCCAGGAGGACGATCACGACACCAGTGAAGACTGCAAGCAATCCCTCGGAGACTTGCTGCTCCTCCGCCGATGGCACATTGCTCGAATAACTACCGCCCAACTTGGTGATGCTGGAGCCCGCTGGGTACCCGTAGTCCAATGGCGCATCGAGCACAATGGATCCAAAACTCGCGATGGCACGTGTCTCCGAATTGCCGCCACCAATAACCACGATGGCATCCCCTACAGAAAAGCCCTCCTCGGACTCCACCACCAACTCCTTTGATCCTGCAAACACCGGAATCACTAACGCAGTCGTTGCTGTTAGCACCACGTCGGCCGTGGCTGTGGTGCCTGTCTCTATGGTGGCTGTGGTGCGTGACGTGGCGGAGCTCGTGCCTGTCTCTGTGGTGGCCGTGGTGCTTGACGTGGCGGATCTCGTGGCCGTCCTGGTGATCGTCGTGGTGGTCGTCTTGGTGGTTGTGCTGCTGGGCGAAGCGGAACTCGTGCCCGTTTCGGTGGTTGTGGGGAACCAATACCGCGCTCGGACGCACACTGACACCCCCGACCCATCGGTGCAACCGTACCGTGCATACCATATTGACCAGATACCATCAGTACTGGGACCGCCGGTCGGTGGTGATTCGGAGGTCGTCGAACCGAAATCTGGTACGCTTTCCTTACCGCTGCATTCGTCGTCCGCCGAGGCTTGACGGGTCTCATAAGAACCGGCACCAGTGGTGATTGTGTGCACGATGCAGCCAGAGGTCGCACCCGCGTTGTTGTTGGCTTGTCTGGCCCACTGCATGCCTACGATCTCGGGCCGACTTGAGGGCGCGAGCCAATACGGAGCTTGGAACCAGGTGTTACTCCAGAAAGTACAATAGCTTTTGCACACGGCATCCGACCACGCCCCTGGACGCCCTGACGGGGTGTCGTCCGACATGGCGCGAGATGCCACAGTCCAGATCTGCGCACCGGGAGTCACAGCCGGCGGCGCGGGTGCTGGCGTCGGTGGCGGTGCCGGCGTAGGTGCTGGCGTAGGTGCTGGCGTCGGCGGCGGTGGCGGCGTAGGTGCTGGCGTCAGCGCCCCGCCGCCGCATGCACAACACATATCAAAACCTGAGAAGTCCCAGTCGTCATACCACCACGAACAGAGCCAGCTCGGAGAAGAAGAATATGCATCGCAATCCATATTGCATGCGTTTGTAGCTCCGTAGTCGGTGTCTGCACAGGTACTCGTAGCCCCGCCGCCGCATACACAGCACATCTTATTGGCTTGGAAATCCCAGTCGTCATAGTACCCAGCACTCCGACACAGATTGGGGAAAGACGCATATCTATCACATCCGAAACCATTCTCGTTTGTAGCTCCGTAGGCGGTGTCCGCACAGGTACCGTGTACGATGCCGAACAGGGACGCGAGACCAGCAGCTGCGTGGAAGGGTATCATATCGAGCACTCGCGCGGGCTAGACGAACGAATGCTGGTGAGCAGAAGGAGGAGAAAGAGGAGGAGGAGGAGGAAGAGGAGGAGGAGGAGGAGGAGGAGGGGTAAGGGGGAGGAGGAGGAGGAAGGAGAAAGGAGGAAGGAGGAAGGAGAAGGAGGAGGAGGAAGGAGGAAGGAGCAGGAAGAAGGAGGAAGAAGAAGGGAGGAAGGAGGAGGAAGGAGGAAGGAGGAAGGAGGAAGAGGAAGGAGGAAGGAGGAGGAGGAGGAGGAGGAGGAGGAGGAGGAGGAGAGGAGGAGGAGGGGGAGGAGGAGGAGGATGGAGGATGGAGGAAGGAAGGAGGAAGGAGGGGACAGGAGAAGGAGGAAGGTGGAAAGAGGAGTGGAAGGAGGAAGAAGAAGGAGGAAGGAGGAAGGAGGAAGGAGGAGAGGAGCAGGTGGAGGATGAGGAGGAGGAGGAGGAGAGGAAGGAGGAGGAGGGGGAGAAGGAGGAGGAAGAGGAGGTGGAGGAGGAGGAGGAGGAGGAGGACCCGCCCACCGAGGGGGCACGGTCGTGGCCAAGACACGCCGCGGCCCTTGCGACCGAGCCTCTTACATCAGGCGTGCACGCTTGACTTTGCAGGCTATGAGTGGCTTTATAGGGTCCCCTGAGGGCCAAGACTTGGTCGAAACATTCGGGGGCAGAGGAGGAGGATGAGGAGGAGGAGGAGGAGGAGGAGGAGGAGGAGGAGCAATGTAAACCCAGGACTTTCTTGTCAAACCTTCTGTCGTGATTAGTTACTTCGCGACGCGAGGATGTCCGGGACCACACCCCGCCGGGGGCCGCGCAGCGCGGTCAGCCCACGCGGGTGGCCTGGCCCGGCGCGCCCTCCAGAAGCTTCCCGCATGGGGTCCGGGCAGATGGGGTCGGACGATCGCGCCGCATCGCCGATGCATCGGCGACGTCGGCGATGCATCGGCGACGTCGGCGTGGAGATCATCGGGCTCCACATCGAGCCGCGCCGCCGATGCAGAGGCGATGCGGCGCGACTCTCCGACCCCATTTGCTCGGACCCCACCTGGGAGGCCTAGGTCGGGCATGTCCTCTGACAGGTGGGTTTTGGAAGAAAAGCAACACATAGTCAAACAGTGATTTTAAGCAGCCAGAAATCCGCCGACCCTGTCGGCGTGTGCGAGGGGCTTCCTCGTCCGTTCCTCGCCGCCCCCAATTCTTCCTTCCCCCTTTTTTCTTTTTGGGCCGTACCCTCCTGCCGTCATGCCGTTGTCGATTCGAAGGGAAGCCCCTTCCCTTTGATCACTTCCCCAGGGGGGGGGTCCTGGGGGGGGTGGGGGTGGGGGTGGGGGGGGGGCAGATTCGTTTTTCCTCGGGCGGCCTCGAAACCTCGAAAACACTCCAAATGAGGTCCGAATGCCCAAGATGGCCCCCGAGACGGCCCAAGAGTGCCCCGAGTCGCCCAAAGATCGGCCGAAGACGCCCAAGATAGCCCCAAGACCGTCCAAGAAGCCTCCAAGACGTCCCAGGCCCCCTCCAAGAGCACCCCCAAGAAGGGCCCAAGAGGCCACACTCATTACTTTTCCACCGGGAACTTACATTTCTAGCATATACGACGTTTCGGCCTTCACGGCGTCACAGACAGCTTCGTCTTCAGGGTCGGCGGCACCGGCCGTAAGGCCTTCGCAATAATATAAACATCGATGTCCCCTGGACGGCCCAAGAAGCCTCCAAGAGTACTCTCAGGAGGGCCCCAAGAGGCAAAATTCATTGGATTTCCTTAGGTTTTGAAATGGTTCAGGCGTTTCCAACTTGTCGGCTTCCCGAAACCCCAAGACGGCCCAAGAGGCCCCCAAGACCGCCCCAAGAGGGCCCAAGAGGCCCCCGAGGGGGCCTCAAGACGGCCAACGAGGCCTCCAAGACGGCCCAAGAAGGCCCCAAGAACGCCCCGAGAGAGGTCCCAGGGAGGGAACACGAAACAACATGTCGAGCCCTCGGCCCTAAGAAGCCCCCAGGAGTCCCCAAGATGCCCCTAAGAGGCCCCCAACAGGCCCTCAGGAGGCTCCCGAGAGGCCCCCAAGTAGCCCCAGGAGGCCCCCCAAATGCCCCTCCCCGAGCACGCAAGCAATATGGGCCAGCCGAACGAGCGAATCGATTCAATTATATAATTATCCCGGCAAAGCAACCTAACAGCGATGTGTAGAAGCATATCTGAAAGCATTCCCCTTAAGATTCAGATGAAAATCCAGTTGTCGAATTCTGCTGTTCTCGCAGTCGTAGTCGCATTCGCGATGACAGTCGCAGCGGCAACGGCAGTCGCAGTCACAGCCTCAGCCTCAGCCTGCCTCCTCCTCCTCCTCCTCCTCTTTCTCCTGCTCCTCCTCCTCTCCTCCTCCTCCTCCTCCTCTTCCTCCTGCTCGTCCTCGTTCTCGTCCTCCTCGTCTTGCTCGTCCTCCTCCTCCTGGTGCTCTCTCTCATCCTCCTCCTCCTCCTCCTCCTCCTCCTCCTCCTCCTCCTCCTCCTGGTGGTCCTCGTTCTCCTCCTCCTGGTGCTCTCCCCCCCCCTCCTCCTCCTCGTCCTCCTCCTCCTCCTCCTCGTCCTCCTCCTCCTCTTCCTCCTCCTCCTCCTCCTCCTCCTCCTCCTGGTAGTCCTCCCTCCTCCCCTCCTCCTCCTCCTCCTCCTCCTCCTCCTCTTCCTGGTCGTCCTCGTTCTCGTCCTCCTCGTCTTGCTCGTCCTCCTCCTCCTGGTGTTCTCTCCTCCTCCTCCTCCTCCTCCTCCTCCTCCTCCTCCTCCTCCTCCTCCTCCTGGTGGTCCTCGTTCTCCTCCTCCTGGTACTCTCCCCCCCCCTCCTCCTCCTCCTCCTCGTCCTCGTCCTCCTCCTCCTCCTCCTCCTCTTCCTCCTCCTCCTCCTCCTCCTCCTCCTCCTCCTCCTCCTCCTGGTACTCCTCCCCCTCCCCTCCTCCTCCTCCTCCTCCTCCTCCTCTTCCTGGTCGTCCTCCTCCTCCTGGTCGTCCTCCTCCTCCTGCTCGTCCTCCTACTCCTCCTGCTCGTCCTTCTTCTCCTGCTCCTCCTGCTCCTCGTCCTGCTCCTGCTCGTCCTCGTCCTCCTGGTCTTGCTCGTCCTCCTCCTCGTCGTGCTCTTGCCCCTGCTGAAAATGTGGCCCAGGAATGGGAGTTCTGGGAAGTCGAAGAGCACGAAGTTCCTACAGTTGGCTACGGGCATTCAAAATGTGGCCCGGGAATGGAGTTCTGGGAACTCGAAGAGCACGAAATGGCCTACAGTTGGCTCCGGGCATTCAAAATGTGGCCCGGGAATGGAGTTCTGGGAACTCGAAGAGCACGAAGTGGCCTACAGTTGGCTCCGGGCATTCAAAATGTGGCCCGTGAATGGAGTTCTGGGAACTCGAAGACCACGAAGTGGCCTACAGTTGGCACGAAGTGTGTGACTGTTGGCGAAAAACGAGCCCGGCACCTGCCGCCCGGCAACTCCCAACACCTGCCCGGACCCCCCTGTGGAGTGATCTGTGAGCTCTTTTGAGTCAACTAGAAACCTATCAGTCTTCGCTGTTAGGTAAATTATCCCGGCAAAGCAACCTAACAGCGATGTGTAGAAGCATATCTGAAAGCATTCCCCTAAAGATTCAGATGAAAATCCAGTTGTCGAATTCTGCTGTTCTCGCAGTCGTAGTCGCATTCGCGATGACAGTCGCAGCGGCAACGGCAGTCGCAGTCACAGCCTCAGCCTCAGCCTGCCTCAGCCTCAGCCTTCTCCTGCTCCTCCTGCTCCTCCTCCTCCTCCTCCTCCTCTTCCTCCTGCTCGTCCTCGTTCTCGTCCTCCTCGTCTTGCTCGTCCTCCTCCTCCTGGTGCTCTCTCCTCCTCCTCCTCCTCCTCCTCCTCCTCCTCCTCCTCGCCTTGTTCCTCGTTCCTCCTCTGGTGCTCTCCCCACCCCCTCCTCTCGTCCTCCTCCTCCTCCTCCTCCTCCTCGTCCTCCTCCTCCTCCTCCTCCTCCTCCTCCTCCTCCTCCTCTGGAGTTCCTCCCCCTCCCCTCCTCCTCTCCTCCTCCTCCTCTTCTGGTCGTCTCGTTTCTCGTCCTCCTCGTCTTAGCTCCGTCCTCCTCCTCCTGTGTTTCTCTCCTCTCCTCCTCCTCCTCCTCCTCCTCCTCCTCCTCCTCCTGGTGGTCCTCGTTCTCCTTCTCCTGGTGCTCTCCCCCCCCCTCCTCCTCCTCCTCCTCGTCCTCGTCCTCCTCCTCCTCCTCCTCCTCCTCCTCTTCATCCTCCTCCTCCTCCTCCTCCTCCTCCTCCTCCTCCTCCTCCTCCTCCTCCTCCTCCTCCTCCTCCTGGTAGTCCTCCCCCTCCCCTCCTCCTCCTCCTCCTCCTCCTCTTCCTGGTCGTCCTCCTCCTCCTGGTCGTCCTCCTCCTCCTGCTCGTCCTCCTCCTCCTCCTGCTCGTCCTTCTTCTCCTGCTCCTCCTGCTCCTCGTCCTCTCCTGCTCGTCCTCGTCCTCCTGGTCTTGCTCGTCCTCCTCCTCGTCGTGCTCTTGCCCCTGCTGACAATGTGGCCCAGGAATGGAAGTTCTGGGAAGTCGAAGAGCACGAAGTTGCCTACAGTTGGCTACGGGCATTCAAAATGTGGCCCGGGAATGGAGTTCTGGGAACTCGAAGAGCACGAAGTGGCCTACAGTTGGCTCCGGGCATCCAAAATCTGGCCCGGGAATGGAGTTCTGGGAACTCGAAGAGCACAAAGTGGCCTACAGTTGGCTCCGGGCATCCAAAATCTGGCCCGGGAATGGAGTTCTGGGGACTCGAAGACCACGAAGTGGCCTACAGTTGGCTCCGGGCATTCAAAATGTGGCTCGGGAATGGAGTTCTGGGAAGTCGAAGAGCACGAAGTGGCCTACAGTTGGCTCCGGGCATTCAGAATGTGGCCCGGGAATGGAGTTCTGGGAGGTCGAAGAGCACGAAATGTGTGACTGTTGCATCCGGCCCCTCCAAAATGTGGCCCGGAATGGCGTTCTGTGGATCTCGAATAGCCCGAAGTGTGTGACTGTTGCATCCGGTATTCAGAATGTGGGGAATGGAGTTCTG